CCCCTGCTGCCGCCGCCAATGCCGCGCTGGGGGGGGCACAGCAGGGCGCTCCGGCCCCGCCCCCGCGTGCGTGCACAAACACACACATCTGCACCCACGCGCACGCAGCTGCCTTGCTCCAGGCCCAGCAAGAGGCAGGGCGCGGGGGAAGGGGGCTGCTTGTGCCCGGCCTCCGCTGCTGCATCGGGACGGGCAGGGGGAGCCGGGGTGCGCGCAGGTAGGCTCAAGGCAGCAGGGAGAAGTTCTGCTCTGGCAAAGACGCGGAGGTAGTGGGGGAGCAGGCACAGAGCTCCGCGCCCACAGCCCGAGCCCCAGCCTCACTGACCCTGGTGCAAGGACAAGCTCGGGCCCCCACCCTCCAGTCATACAAGCCCTGGGCCAGGCCAGCAGCGCCACGAGCCTGGCAGCCAGGCTCCTACGCCGATGGCTGCCCAGGAAGGGGGCTCCGGCCAGGAGGACCCCTGGAGACTGTGGGGCCATTTTCCAGCCCCTGGTTCATTCATAGCTCCCGGCAGTGTCATTGTTTTGCCTTTCTTTTTCCCACCCCCACCCAAGAAATTAGCTGTTCTTTTCTTAGAGGCTTATAGCTCTTCTTGGTGGGCAACAGCCCACAATCCCTGAAAAGTAACAAATAGGCCTGTCTCTGACCCCAATACCTCACAAAGAAGGAGGCTCTGACTGGGAGAACCCCCCAGTGACTGTGGGGCTGTCTTCCTGTCTCCAGCTGGTCACATCTCCAGGCAGAGTGGCACTGGGTGGTGTCCATTGGCTTCTTGGACTCATTTGAGGACCAGTAGGCAGTGGCTGGTGTGCTCTGCTCAGCATCCCCTCTTGGAGTGCCCATTATTAACCTCTGACCCCCACTCTTATCCCAGTTTTTGCATTAGTTGTCTAAAAAATTCTGTTAGCTCCCTCTGTTATTAGAGAGGGTTGCTAAGTGTGTACCAACCATTTGTGTGGGGGCCCATACCCATGTTCCCTATGGGTACCAAACAGGCCTGCAGGAGGGGGTGCTTTATAGGGAGAGCATGTGTCTGGGGCATAACTAGTCTAATCCATCCTCTGTCCTACCCTCCCACGCATCCACCATCGTTGATTCAGAGAGGCCAGAGGATACATGCCTAACTGTTCTAATAAAATGCTATTCATAGAATTATCATCCATGACTTAGTATAGCCAGGTTCAAAAAGGGACTAGACAATCTGCCTATACAGTCTCCTGTGTCAACGAGTTCTACCAGTTAATTATGCACTACTTTGAGTTCTATTTAGGAATTAGCCATTGGTAAGTCTACACTGCTAATTATCTACTTGTTGGGGTTGTGTTCCTGTCCCTACCCTCTTACCACATGAAAACCTGTTTCCTCAAGAGAAAAGCAGTAAAGCCTAATCCCCCAAGCATGCAGGTCTCTCAAGTCAGCTGCATCATGTTGCCCAAATCTTTGACTTGTACACCTTTCACATCCAAAACACACTTTCACATTTGTATTGCCGATAGGACCTTCCAGTATTTGTGACTAGTTGCCCCACATGGGAGCACCTCCAGTAGATCCACTGCCTATGCGTGGTTACAAATGCAAAGGTGAACAGCACTTCAGGGTGGCAAAGCTGTACATCATGGGGAACTAATATTTAGGCCCATTAAGAAAAGACAGTCTCCTACAATGCATAACAGACCAATTTGCACAAGGGTTTTACTTGGTATGGTACCAAGAAACCAACCCTCACAAATCCTAGCACTGCCTGCCTGCCTATCAGGAAGCACAGTGTGGATGTGGGCAACCAGGACTTCTTGCATGATAAGAAAAACACAGTGTGGACAGGGATAGGACAGTTTGCATGATGGCATTTATCAGTATAGACATACGGTTAAGTTTATGATAGAATTGAACAACTGGAGTCAAATGTTAATCAACACACAGCAAATATGTACTATAAGTCCAGTTAGATATTGATCTTTTCTCTCCACCCAAAGAGACTGCAGGACTGCTAAGTAAGAGTATTACGTGACTGTAGGACTGTTATGCGAGGGCATTAAATGGAATAAACTAAAACAAAGACAGGTAAACAGTCCTTTCCATTTAAGTTCTGTTACCCTTATGACCAAACAAGAATGTTGTGCAACATTTGTTTTTACTAGAGAAATCATCAAAAGATATAGTTTCCTCCTGGCTATTTCAAGTACTTTTATTCTCATCATAAAAATGCTTACAATGAGACTTTTCGTAACATCATAGTTCAAAACTGT